CGTAGCCTGCCCATTGGCGCAGGGTGTGATGTCAGACAAAAGTTGAGCCTTATCGGGGCTGATAAGGGCCTAAACTTTTTCGACCGTTTTGGGTGTTTATTGCAGTGAAGCCGACTCACAAGGAGACCATTAAGTTTCGAAATAACGCGTAGCATGGCCAACGCCGCAGGGTGTGACGTCAGACAAAAGTTTAGCCTTATCAGCGCTGATAAAGCCGAAACTTTTTCGACTGTTTTGGGCGTTTATTGCAGTGAAGCCGACGCACCAGGAGAACATAAAGTTTGGAAATAACGCGTAGCCTGCCCATTGCCGCAGGGTGTGATGTCAGACAAAAGTTGAGCCTTATCGGGGCTGATAAGGGCCCAAACTTTTTCGACTGTTTTGGGTGTTTATTGCAGTGAAGCCGACTCACAAGGAGACCATTAAGTTTCGAAATAACGCGTAGCATGGCCAACGCCGCAGGGTGTGATGTCAGACAAAAGTTGAGCCTTATCGGGGCTGATAAGGGCCTAAACTTTTTCGACTGTTTTGGGTGTTTATTGCAGTGAAGCCGACGCACAAGCAGACCATTAAGTTTGGAAATAACGCGTAGCCTGCCCATTGCCGCAGGGTGTGATGTCAGACAAAAGTTGAGCCTTATCGGGGCTGATAAGGGCCTAAACGTTTTCGACTGTTTTGGGTGTTTATTGCAGTGAAGCCGACGCACCAGGAGAACATTAAGTTTGGAAATAACGCGTAGCATGCCCATCGCCGCAGGGTGTGACGTCAGACAAAAGTTGAGCCTTATCGGGGCTGATAAGAGCCTAAACTTTTTCGACTGTTTTGGGCGTTTATTGCAGTGAAGCCGACGCACAAGGAGACCATTAAGTTTCGAAATAACGCGTAGCACGCCCATCGCCGCAGGGTGTGACGTCAGCGAAAGTTAAGCCTTATCGGTGCTGATAAAAGCCGAAACTTTTTAGACTGTTTTGGGCCTTTATTGCAGTGAAGCCGACTCACAAGGAGACCATTAAGTTTCGAAATAACGCGTAGCATGGCCAACGCCGCAGGGTGTGACGTCAGACAAAAGTTTAGCCTTATCGGTGCTGATAAAAGCCGAAACTTTTTAGACTGTTTTGGGCGTTTATTGCAGTGAAGCCAACGCACCAGGAGAACTTTGTGTTTGGAAATAACGCGTAGCATGCCCATCGCAGTAGGGTGTGACGTCAGAAAATAGTTGAGCCTTATCGGAGCTGATAAGAGCCGAAACTTTTTCGACTGTTTTGGGTGTTTATTTCAGTGAAGCCGACGCACGAGAACATCAAGTTTGGAAATACCGCGTAGCATGCCCATCGCTGCAGGGTGTAACGTCACACAAAAGTTGAGCCTTATCGGGGCTGATAAGGGCCTAAACTTTTTCGACGGTGTTAGACATCTAAGCAGTGAAGTCAACGCGTCAGGGAACTTTAAGTTTGGGAATAACGCGAAGCATGGCTATGGCCGCATGGTGTGATGTCAAACAAAAGTTGAGCCTTATCTGGGGTGATAAGAGCCTAAACTTTTTCGACCATTTTAGGCACATATTGCAGTGAGGCCAACGCGTCAGGAAACTTTAAGTTTGGAAATAATGCGTAGCATGGCCATCGCCACGGAATGTGCCGATGAAAAAAATTGAGCCTTATCGGGGCTGATAAGAGCCTAAACTTTTTCGACTGTTTTGGGCGTTTATTGCAGTGAAGCCAACGCATCAGGAGAACCTCTAGCTGGGAAACGACGCGTAGCATGGGCATCGCCGCAGGGTGTGACGTCAGACAAAAGTTGAGCCTTATCGGGGCTGATAAGAGCCTAAACTTTTTCGACGGTTCTCGGCAGCTATTGCAGTGAAGTCAACGCGTCAGGGAACCTTATGTTTGGGAATAACGCGAAGTATGACCATCGCGGCATGGTGTGACGTCAGACAAAAGTTGAGCCTTATCTGGACTGATAAGAGCCTAAATTTTTTCGACCATTTTGGGCACATATTGCAGTGAAGCCAACGCGTCAGGAAACTTTAAGTTTGGAAATAACGCGTAGCATGGCCATCGTCACAGGGTGTAACGTGAGACAAAAGTTTAGCCTTATCGGGGCTGATAAGAGCCTAAACTTTTTCGACCATTTTGGGTATATACTGCAGTGAAGCCAACGCGTCAGGAGAACCTTAAGCCGGGAAATAACGCGTAGCATAGCCGTCGCCACAGGCTGTGACGTCAGCGAAAGTTAAGCCTTATCTGTGGTGATAAGAGTCTAAACTTTTTCTACTGTTTTGGGTATATATTGCGGTGAAGCTAACGCGTCAGGAAACTTTAAGATGGACAATAACGCGTAGCATGCTAACGCCGCAGGGTGTGACGTCAGACAAAAGTGTGAGAGCTTTGACAACCGTCATGTCAGACAAAAGTCGAGCCTTATCAGGGCTGATAAGAGCCGAAACTTTTTCGGCTGTTTTGGGCATTTATTGCATTGAAGCCAACGCATCAGGAGAACTTAAGTTTAGAAATTACGCGTAGCATGCCAACGCCGCAGGGTGTGACTTCAGACAAACGTTAAGCCTTATCAACGCTGATAACAGCCTAATATTTTTCGACTGTTTTGGCCGTTTATTGCAGTGAAGCCAACGCTTCAGGGGAACTTTAAGTTTGGAAATAACACGTAGGCTGGTAACTTATGCACTGCGTTTTCTATATGTTTGGTCTTAGTGGAAATGGGGACAAAGAATGACAGGCGGAATTGTGTGGGAGGCAGCTGCCTCTCCTCTGGTAATTGCCAGTAGCTTTGTGAGGCCAAACTTACCTTTGCAAGAGCTTCTCCGTGAAATTCGACGATTATAAAAATGTTTTGTCATGAAAATTAAAAAAAAAACAGGAAGGGTCTCTATTTAAGGACACCTATGGTAACCTCTGCGGCAGCCCAGGCCCTGAGAATGAGGGTTCGGCAGACCTTGGGGGCGCCGTCGCGAAGGGCACGGGCCTTCCCACTGCTCTGCGGTACGAGTGGACCGAAGGATTGAAGGGAGGTAAGTGGCGGAGCACTCCTGGGTGACGCGAAAAGTTGTGGGGATAGCGCCACAGCCTGGACAGAAATCGGTACAAGTCATGTAAATTTTATGCATGAAGTGGAAGTTCGGGAAAGTTGGGGTCTGCATTTAGCGAAGTGCGTCGGCTTCCTCGAGTGTGAAGGAGTCTAGTGGGCGTTGGTATTGCTGTCGTTGGCGTATGTAATGTTGTGTGACTTTGTGACATGTGAGAAGTGGGAACCTGGCTCTGTGTTGGCCACCTCACTGCGCGGGTCCGCTCGGAGAGTCAATTCTCGAGCAGCCGCATGAGCGCGTTCATTACCCGACAGTGAGGCATGGCCAAGAATTCAGACTGGTGTATGATGTATCTGCTGCACGAAGCATCTTTGGATGTGCGTAAGAGAATAGAGTGGGAGCTTTCGGGAATACCACGACCTGCCAGGAAAGCCCAAACATGCCGCTTGTGAATCGGGGAGTATGTTTCTGCGGGAAGGCACAAGGTGCGTTGGATCACCGAAGCTACATGCAAGCGATTCTGGCACATTCGGCCCACGAAACTACTTCCAGCTGCTCCTCCGCTACTGTCTTCACTATTGACGAATCCTAACAAACCTGACAGATCTTAATTCGGAATGCTTGAACCAACTGCCACTTTACGCTGAAAATACAAGCTGCTCAGTTCGGTCACAATTTGAATAGGTATGAAAAAGCTGTATGGCAAACATGGCACTATTCAGGTATGCCCAGTCCCGAAAAGACAGTTGCTTTTTTACTGCTTTAAAAGATAATTATGGGACACCAGGCCACATTATACAATGCTTATTGTGACACGGCAGAGATGTCCATTCAAAGTAGGAAGATTGCATGTGAATCTTCTATTTTAGACTTGCCATCTGAACATCAGTATTTGACAATGTCCAATCAGAACTTGGAATGGATAGAGAAATGGACACTGGCAAACAAAAGAGTGCAAAGGACAAGCTAAACTTTGTGCTTAACCCACGAGTCTTGTTTTACAAGTAGATCAATATTACTGACCACAAGACATACTGGGAAAGACTTGTCGACAAGTTGTCTTTTTTAAAGCCCACCGTTCAATATTGCCATGAAGACAAGCCCACCTGTCAGAACGACCCTAGCAACACCTAGTGTTGAATATGCATCTTTTAGATCCTCTATATTCTGAACTTGGTTTGAATTTGCATCTCTTGAATACATTTTTTCATTTCAGCAATGCATCGTTCCAATGTCTAACAGACTATAAAATAATGACTCCCTTATAGAGGGGCGATGCTGTTCGCCACCTTAACTGGTACTGCAACTGCCATTGTGCAGAGAAATGCTTGACCTGTTTAACACCAGAGAGCACAATTTAAAAAGATAACATGTACATTTTATTTGAGCAAATTGTAGCAACCGCAATTTATTTTTTAAACAGCAGATTTGCGGATCATCACAGCAGCACTAGCCATTTGACAAAGAATACAGTATGGGAAGCTGCAAGTATAGTCTGGACACAAATATGGTAGCTACATGGGAATTCACACTTACCTGGTCAAAGACAACATGTGGTAGTTGCCCTGGTCATTGCAGAGATGTGATGCAGCCATCTGTTCACATTTGAGCAGTTGTGCAAATGTAAAGACACCATACAACCGGGGTGATTGGACAATGCCTGACCATGAGCGCTGTGCTTTGTTAGAATTCACGCAAGGAGTGAATGCTTGTAATCATGAATCCTGCAGCTAGACTTCGCCTGGGAACCCATTCTGCCTCACCAAATGCAGCACAGTAAAATGCACAGGTCGTGCAAGTCAACAACAACTTCCCCAAATCTATTTTTTTAAACTGTTTTTGCTTGCTATCGTGCTCATCTACTGCAGCTCACCAATCTCTGCCACTCGATTCTTGCAACTTGGTTGCACTTGAAACGTATCAGGTTTCGCTGGACAAAAAAAAAAACAATACAGCCATGGATACAATAATATTTATTTCTAGTATGCCACTGGTCATACATTAGGGATCTCATACAGCTAGTACTTGTTGAAGTTCCACCTGTACTTCATCTGTTCCCACTTGCTGATGTCCTTCATCCGGAACAGAACCCATTTGTCTCCTAGATGCCGGTTGTAACCCTTCATGAAGTACCCTCGCTTGTTGTTGTACTGCGTAAAAAAAGAAGGAAATACAAAGCCATAGCTCACATGCGCAGTAGCACCAACATTTTAACCTCTTTTGCGAAAAGTCGACACGTAAAGTCGTCTTGAGAATTTCCTACAGAATGAACGGTGACTACAATACTTGTCATCAACAAAAATTGGTCCCGCAGTGAAAGTAATGACAACTATACTCATCACACTCATGTCTTTTGATGCTTTTGGCCACACTTGTCCATGTTGGTACATCTGTGTCTCGGCTTTCTATTATTAGCATTTTTCATTGTATTACTATGCAGTGAAGCCACCTTCGAGTTATCTTTTTCTACACAAAATAAAAGAATACCATTGAACTGATAGAACAGCATGATTTTAGTCAGAACAAAAATCACAGCATATCCACGAAGTGAATGATAATTGGTGGGGTGGACCGTTCGTCAGTCTGTCCGAGCTTTTGCCTGTTCATTCATTCTTGCTTCCATCCGTCCATGCATCCGTTTGTGTGTTCGTCCATCCGTGTGACCGTCGGCACGTCCCTCCATGTGTATGTGTGTTCTTCCATCTGTCCGTCTGTTCGTGCGGTCGTCCCTCTGTCTGTCTGTCTGTCTGTCTGTCTGTATGTTCGTCCGTCCATCCGTCTATCTAGTGAACACTCCAAGTACAGCCATCTCACATATATTCATCATATACAAGTTCTGCCATTCAGTGGACATTCTAAGGACAGCTCTTTTGGGCATGTGCTACCCATACACCATCGGAGGATGGACAGACCCACACCCTAAGAAGCTTCGCCCCTAAAAAAAGCTCGGCGAATTGGGAGGAAAGTTTTACATGATTTATGCACATTATTATTATTTTTTTCAGTAGCCAAAAGGTTAAGCCATGCTTTTCTGTCCACACATTTTGTGTTCCTCAAAGCTGTGCTTGCTTGCAAACATGTAATGCAAGACTACCGGGATAACTTACTTGAGTTACAACATTAACACTAACTTCGACACTAACCATGAGCCATAGAATGCTCCCATACTGCAGTTTTGTAAAATATGTCAAAGAATGAAGTATGAAGACTACACCAGCTCAGAACGACAACAGATATGACAAAAAATAGTAGCTCACAAGTAGAAAAGGCTAGTAACTGAAAATAAGCCCCCAAAGCAGCGAACCAGTGTCTTGTACCATTTTTATTAATCATGAAACTTAAGCCACTTATGGCTGTTATAGTCGGAACTGCAACCTTATGTGCTGCACAACACAGAGAAAGCTCTTTTGCCAAGTATGCCTTGTCAGAATTTTGGAAAATTTTGCTTGTTCTTATGTCTCAAGCTTAGCCTATGAGTCATTACTACAGACTAGTTTATAAGCAAATGCATATTTAGTTCCTTGCATTCTTATTGGGCCATCTTGATATATGAGCATGAATTAGAAGTTAAGGGCTTTTATGGTGTTTGTATAGTGCCTCTAAATGCCTATTTTGAGTGTTCATATATGTGCCTATAAATGACTATATATATATATATAGGCCTATATGTGCCTATAAATGACTATTTACCAAATGAGTGTCTATGTGAGCGCTACCAAAGCCCAAATTTTATTTTTGAGCGTGGTGTGAAACCACTATTCATGTAAAAAAGGCAAAATTTATATTTCATAACACTATAAGGTTCAACGAAAACAAAACAACAAAACAAACAAAACAATCGCTGCGAGCGATTGGAAAAAGAGTATGAGGAGTGCAAAAGACGCTATTTCTGCAACCCTAAGTGGAAGCACGTCTCAGCGTCTGCAGGGGAAGGACGAGAGAGAATTAAATATGGGGTAAGAAAACAAAAGTCACGTCTATGGCCGAGGACTCAGCGGCCGCCTTCTACAAACAGCTGTCCAATGCCCTGAAGGAACTGAAGAACCGCCCCGAAAACCTGGGTGTTGCGGTGGGAAAGGAAGAGCAGGTTTTTCTGGGCCGCTGCTGGTAGCTGGAGAAGAACTGAAAAACCATGGAGGGTCACTGATGGAATACTCTTGTTGATTCTGTGGTGGCAAAGGTCGCCAATTTGTTATACTTTGTACAGCGAAGCCTGAAACAGGCGCTGGCATGTTCTCAGTCAATAGTGTATTTAGCATACATTCACCTTACGCCTGAATACGCTTGTGTTGTATGAGATCCCTTGTCGTATGTCTTTAAGTGACAAACATGAAAAAATACAGAACAGGGTTTCAAGGTTTGTCCTAAGCTATTATTCAAAAGTGACAGCTCTAACAACATGAAAAATGAACTAGGATGGGAATTACTTTGATTGCGTCAAATTATACTGCAGTTAAAGCTCCTATGTTAAGCATTTCATGGTAAATTTCGCATTCGAAAATGAATGTACCTATACAGTCCTCTTAGTACAATGTTAATTAAGATTTAGAATGTCGTATGAGATCTAATTTTTCTACTAATTTGTTTTTTGTTATTTTCATGACAGAATGAAATGAAATAAAAAAAAACAATGTGTGTAGTGTCATTGGAAGCATGTTTTCTTCGACATTGTAACCCACCTACTGCAGCGCCTCCGGTTAAAAAAAGCGATGTGCACGCGGCTTTTGTTCTGTTTGTAATTTACTATTTAAGCGTCCCTTTCTAGGTGACATATTAAGTTGTAGTTAGACACTATAAGTTTTTGGGTGCCCAATGAAAAGCGTTTTACCGCGGGATTTTTCAAATTGGTTCGCTACGAGTCACCAAAGCGTGATGCGAAGAAGCAAGCTTGAATCCCTTGCCTCTCCTCCCATGCAGCCATCACGAGTCTCATTCCTTCCCTGTTCTTTTTGGTATCGGGGCTGGAGAATCGCATAACGTATATGCACCAAGCACAACATGCGTAAGCAAAGTCACGCGCACATGACGTGCACCAACCTACTTGTGCACGTACTCCATCGATGTTGTGTCGTTTCGGCATTCTTTGTTGGGTACTATTACCATTTTCTGTGTGATTAATCAGTCAGTGCGTGCAGCTTAGGAGAGGCTGGCAAGGATCATGTATATATTGTGACCGCGGTACACCATGTCGCTCCACTGAAACTGAGGTCAGAGACGACGCACCACACACAAGCTAAGCGTTGTCAGGGTTGGCGAAAGCACGATGCAAGAACGACGAGAAGACAAACGCAATCAATATGGTGTAGTGTTGATTGATATGATTGATATGCGGGGTTTATCGTCCCAAAACCACTATATGATTATGAAAGACGCCGTAGTGGAGAGCTACGGAAATTTCGACCACCTGGGGTTCTTTAACGTGCACCCAAATCTGAGCATACGGGCCTACAACATTTGCGCCTCCATCGGAAATGTAGCCACCGCAGCCGGGATTCAATCCCGCGACCTGCGGGTCAGCAGCCGAGTACCTTAGCCACTAGACCACCCCAGCAGGGCGCGAAATGGGGTAGTAGTAGTAGTAGTAGTAGTAGTAGTAGTAGTAGTAGTAGTAGTAGTAGTAGTAGTAGTAGTAGTAGTAGTAGTAATGGTAGTAGTATAATATAGTGGTGGTAGCAGTGGTAGTATGTGTCATTTTAGGTAAAAATAGGTAAAAAACATGATATGATCATGAGGGATGCAATAGTGGAGGTCTCCACAAATTTTGACCATCTGGTGTTTTTTAACGTGCACTGACATCGTGCAGTACACGGGCATCTACTTTTTTTGCTTCCATCTAGATCTGACCGCCGCGGCCACAATCGTACCCGCGGAATTTGGGTCAGCAGCGGAGCACCCTATAGCGACTGGTCCACCGAGGCGGACGCGAAACGAGGGCCGATTAGTGAATAGCATTTCGAGGCTATTAAAAAATAAAATAGAAATAAAAGTAATAACAAGCTGAGATTCGGTTTGCATGTTTCATTATTTTTCCAAGCTTTCATTCATTATACTGATTTTGATTGATTGATATGTGGGGTTTAACGTCCCAAAACCACCATATGATTATGAGAGACGCCATAGTGGAGGGCTCCGGAAATTTTGACCACCTGGGGTTCTTTAACGTGCATCCAAATCTGAGTACACGGGCCTACAACATTTCCGCCTCCATCGGAAATGCAGCCGCCGCAGCCGGGATTCGAACCCGCGACCTGCGGGTCAGCAGCCGAGTACCTTAACCACTGGGCCACCACGGCGGGGCCATTATACTGATTTTGAAAGGGCAGTGCAAAGACACAGGGAAAAGAAAGACATAGGGGAAAAGAGCGCCGTCTTTCTTTTTTCTTTGTCCTCGCACTTCCCTTTCAAAATGATATGAAGTAGCTAGCCCAAACCAAAGTATCCTTATTCAGGCTACACATCAGAAAACACAAATTGCACATTCCAAGTGATGTCATGTGCAACGCTCTTAATGAGGTACTGTTTAAAAAGATATAATCAGAAGACAGGACATTTTTCGTCTGTTTTTCTAGATATAGCTAGCATTTAACAAAGTTTTGATGAAGAGCATACCGTATGTGATGTCAGCCCACCAATGTCAACGTAAAGGAGTGATCTAAAGACAGGACCAAGCCTTGCTGTACGTGACTCCCTATAGATCTTGGGGCGCACGCGCGCGAGTAGGGCAAGTGGCATTCATTAGAAATTGAGCGTTTTTCCGTGACATGTAATTTTACAAATCTTAACAGGAATGATCCGAAGGGCCCAGTGCACCATTACCCTTACCAGCTCAAAATGCCCGAAAGTAGTGAGGGGCCCTTTAAAGAGCACTGACATCGAACTTGCTCATGCCAAGATTTTTGCGTAAGCGAGTAGCTATAGACGCCGTAGCAGCTATTAGCAACCCAAAATGCAACTGAGGGATGAATAACTATTGCTTTTATTGATTTATATCACTGGTATCTAGCACTATTCAAAACGGCTGGCAGTCCCACTATTTTTAGGGCTGGGAGCACCAGCAGTGGCGCTACCTCGCGGTAACCTCCAAATCACGTAACAGTTGACCACTTCTCCACATAAAAGAGTGAGGTCAGGCTCAGCTGCTCTGCAGACATTTCGTCTGCTAGGCAGACACATATTCAGTTATGCCTTGTCACCTGCATTGCTGTCGTTGCCATACAAAGTGTTGACTCGAGTTCAATACGATAGTCTGGAGCTTACAATCCCCGCGATTCACGACGTCGCGAATTATTTTTGCTTCGATCGACCTTTTGCAGAACAGTGATTCCGAAATGGACGCCGTTCCAAGCACCACTGCAGAGGTGCCCGAGGATGCACGCTTCAGCCATGTCAGCTCGTGTGTCTCAGTTGGCTTTATTGGTGTGTTTTGGCGTGCAAAGCATTCAGGTATACGCATAGCGGTCAATGCAATATAGCTATCGCAAATGAGCATCAGGAAAAATAGAACGCGTTTCCTGCTTGCCAAGTTCTTTTTTGCGCCTCCAGATGGCCCCTTCTATCCAGCCCCTCACGATTAACACGGTATTACCACTTCTACGTGAACGCGAAGTCTACAGATAAAACTAAAATTCAACGATACCTGCGTGTTACTTGTTAGCGATGATATCTGACTATACGCTGTTCCACTTTTGATAACTTGTGGTCGTGTTGATGTGTAGCACATACGTGGTATGAGAAGACACCCTCATAGCGCTTTTTCCGTGCTTCGAACTAAACGACTGCAACTCACAATGATTCCCCGAAATGCTGATGGACGAGCACACGCTTAATCATGCTCTTTTTTTTCGCTGTTCTTTTAAAGGTGGTTTTTATCTTGATAATTTCATGAAATCATTCAAACTGGTGCGACGAAGATCAGACGCGACGGGCGAGTGCGTTTCTGCGCTTCAGCGCCAGTTGGCGCCACGATAAGAACACTCGGATCGTACACGTCATCACTATTAAGGCATCGTCACACGGGATGGTATTCGTGGAATGAATCACACGGAACATGTAGCACTAGTGTCGATGTCGCAGGGCAGTCTATTTTCCATTTTTTCTCCTCATCTTTTTTATGCTGGTTGACATTGAATTAAAATAACTTCCATGTGACGGGTGCCATTCAAATTCAGCCAAGAAGGCCTATGCATACCAAGCGATCGAATGATGGGCACACCTCGATCTTGAAATTTAGCGTCAGTGCTTCTTTAAAAAACTGTTTTCTACGAGCAAAGGTGCATAAAACACCGAAACACGTAAAGCTGCTTGCATACCACACATATATTAGACCTAGACTGGAATACGCCTCTGTGGTTTGGAGCCCTCACCAGAAACACTTGGTCACCAAGTTAGAACGTATTCAGAGGCGTGCAGCTCGGTTTGCGTGCTCTAGATATAGAAGGCGGGATTCAGTAACTGATACGCTAAATTCATGCAATTTAAAATCACTGGAAATTCGAAGACGGGAACAAAAACTTAAAACATTATTTCGTATAATCCAAGGGATATTCAAAATACCTAAAGACGAGTACATACGCCTTCCCGGAAAACGTAGCACTAGATTAAATCATGATGCCCCCATTGAACCTTTCAGCGCTCGCACTGACACCTTTCGGTGGTCATTTTTCCCGGATGCTATAGAACAATGGAATTCTTTACTCCAACATGTTATTAATAGTGCCAATGTGCAAACTTTTGACAGAGAAATCGATGCTTATTTTGGTAATGGTTGAAGTACTGCTCATTCTGTTTTCCCGTGTTTATTGCTTAGTGGTTTCTTTAGGTGTTCTGTTTGTACTCATATTGTACTCCCTCCCTGTTATGACCCTCAAGCGAGGGTTGACAGTATTCTTACATAAGAAAAAAAATGCGTTCACTGATAGGGAAGAAATTGGTCCTATGTGATTAGACCTAGCATCCCTCTCTTCTGGGGTGTCTGTGGTCTGGTTATTTGCTCCTGCGCTGCCCTTCTCAGCCACAATGAAATGAAAGAGACCCCGGAGAGTGTTAATTTAATGGTGGACACTTGGCGCACAATGCTAGAGATTAAAACGAAAGACCACATACTGCGAATCGCGTGGGAAATGCATGCCTATGTTCAATCGTTGGTACCTTTCTGCTATCTTAAACAATATATTTTTTTTTGCTTCTTGCCGTAGATACAAGTCACCGACATCGTTGTATTGGGATATTTCAACTTTTGTAGAAATTTATTGTGCCTATAATTATGATTTTGAGGGCCTAAAACGGTGTTTCACCTGCCTGTCTTTGGAACCTAAAACACACTTCTTTAGTGTCTAAAAGTCCGGCCTCTAGTCATTACCACAGGAACTGTTTTAAACGTGCGTATCATGGCAACTTCACTCGATGCATTTTTCACAGAATGTTTGCCAATGTCTGAAAGAGGAATAAACTTTTTGCTTGCGATTTCGTTTGCATTTAGCCTTTGGCAGAATGTTCTTTAGTGTTGAAAATAAGGAACGAGGGCGTTTAGTGGTTGAAGTGGTAGCACTGTGAAGAGTCAAAGAAAGGTAGCGATGTGATCTAAAAGCTTAGAAAACACACCCTTGTTTCTCATATCTTAAGTTCACTATAATACATGTATTGTCCTTCCACACAAGTAGGATTACCAACTATCTTGGATTTTGCGGGACTGTCTCAAATTTTCATACAGCGTCCCGAGTCCCGCATTTTTGCCGACGGAACAGCTGTTTGTTCCAAATTTCTTCCAGACTATCCAGTTAGGATGTTTGATCTGATCCAACAAACACTCAAAAATGCTCTTCACGCTACGAAACACGACGTTTGCATGCACGATGCGACACTGTGGTGGGTAAGGGTGGTGAGGAGGGGCTTGAACATTCACGTGAAGTGCGACAAACTTTTGCGAGTACTTTTTGCAGCAAAGGCAAGTGTTGCGTGCAGCACGTGGCCAGCTAAGCACCACTTCATTGCGAGATGTCGCAACAGTAAAAAAAAGATAGACCTATTAGTAAGATACTACAAAAAGTAAAGAAATTTCAGTGCTTCCCAATGTAAGTGTAAACCCCCTTTCTCCCATTGCCCTGTTCCGACTTCCTTCGTTGAAGAGTTGGTAATTCTACACACACGTGGTGACATCTCAGCCTCAAACAAGATTGAAACATTATGCATCCAGCAAAATGTTTGAGAGGTGCCTAAAAGAATCATAGCTTGTATTTTTGAAATACCATTTCGCTCCTGAGGGAGCTGTTGGAGAATCATAAGTCAGATATTTGTTTGCAATATTTATTCGGCAGCATTAGCTGTCTGGTTGAGTTTTATAAATGACGTGCACTGTGAGGTATCTGCAACCGAAATTCCTTTGTCGTCTGCACCCGACGTTTTTGACCTGCTCGTCTCCTTCTTCAGGGGCGACGATAGAAAAATGGGCCAACAGTGGTGAGAAGTGAAAAGAGATGAGAAAGGGCGCGGGGAAGTCAAGAAAGTGAAAAATGGGAGGGACAGAGAGTGCAGGGCTGTCTACAAGTGCCCCCCCCCTCCCTTTTTTTTTTTTTTTCATTTTGTGCTCATCACAGGGAGGAGCGAAGGCCTTGCATGTAAAACACAGGGTAGATTGCCCTTTGTCCTGTTCACTGCTCAAGTACAGGCCACAGTTTGAATATATACGTTGCATGACAGCTGCATATCTTGGCTGCAATCTTACCAGTGAAAATGTTTACTTACTATGGACTGTTCTCAGGTGAGCCACGCAACATCGCCAGCTCGCTCTAAACATGCTCTGGTTCCAATTCATCTCCTCGCTCCATACAGTAACACTGTATGCTTTACTCTGCAGGCTGCGATTTTTTTTATAGGCATACTTTGCTAACACAAAGTACATTAGATTTATAATGCTGAAGTGTCAAAATGCAATGGCAGAAAAAGAGCCAAGCTCTTCGTGACATTTTCGAAGCATCAGGGAAAGCATGGCACACTGGACATACCTTCTCCATAATGTCCTCCACCGCTTCCTGGTCTTCTCCGGAAGTGAGAAGCTCCGGAGCTTCATACAAATTCATTGAAAGGCTATCCATGACTTCGTCTTTTTCAGCAGGTCATCCTACGAGTGATTGTAAGGTGCAAAATGAAAAAGGAGAGAAAGTAGTCTACATAGAATACATGCTGTGCACTGACAGTGGCGAACAGAGTGTTGGCCATCGATAGTCTGATCTGCAGTAAGATGCATCAGGCATTTATGAATGTAGCATTGAACATTCTCAGCCTTATTAAAACGATGGTCACGTTAGTTCCAAAGTAAACTCCACTGTTGCATTTGTAAAGCTGTCAAAAATGTTAAAACAATCTGAAAGGTCCCTGGAAATTTGAGCGTGGTCACTGGTTTGCACAAGGCAGCGATTATATGCGCAATGAACCAATTACACTTTGACAGCAATAGAAGCCCCTTCCGTTCTTTGGAACATTTTTCTACACAACACCAATTCACAGCAGTGAAAGTGACATTAGGATACGTTTGACATGCGATAAACTGTATGCCTAGTTTTTTTTCTTTTTTCTTCTTCTGCTAACATGCGATTGTTTGTGCAAGCGGTGTGGCTAGTTTCACCATTTTGTGGGCAGGCAACCTGCCTTATCAGCGACTTTTAATGACACAAAAGCATGAGTGTTTTGCTAGAAGCAGCAAAGGCCGCAGATTTACTTGTGCGTGGACTCATTCAATTCCTGAGGTTGAACTCATTGAATTCCTGCAGTGGTGTGGTTTGAATCGTGCGGCTTTAAAATGCATCGTAAACATAATGGGTTGACCAAACATTTAAGGTCTGTTTGAGTCAACCAGAAGTTTTAATTACCAAATCTTGAATTATGCACAGCCTACTGTAGTCTACTGGACCTCCCACTATGTCCCATCTGGCTTTGAGTACAGAAGAGTAAATAAGTACAGAAGCTATTGCAGCAGCTTGCTGTGCACCAGTAATGTGGCCTGGGGGAGGCACACTGTGTATCTCACTGCTTTTGTTTTTTTTGTCATGACATACAAGCCTAAAATGACACTCGGCCACATGTGTTAACCCAGCCCCCACTACACAAAAAAAAGTTGCCACCCCCCAAAAAATGTTGCCACCCCCCCCACCCCCCACCCCCGCTAAAAAAAAAACATTTCTGCCTATGTGTACTCTACATGACTAGACACTCTCACAGAAGTCGCTTCCAGTTATTCCAAGGGTGGATGCATCATAATGCCTTGACACAGGAACTGTGTCATATGACAATGTAGCCACAATAAACAAGCATTGCTAGAGCTTTTGTTCATTGTTTCTTAAGGACATCATGTCAGTCACAAGTCCAACTACTGGCCGTGCCAGCTGCATTTTAAAGAGGTAAAAATTACAGAACCCTAGAGAGTTTCATCTTGAAGGGACACTAAAGGCAAATGTTAAGTCAACGCTGATTGCTGAAATAGTGGTCCGGAAACCTCGCAGTGCTACTTTTGTGTCAAAGAAGTGCGTATTTTGAAATAAAACCACGTTCGAGTGGTCCGCATCGCGTTATCACACTTCAAATTACCCTCCTCAAAGTAGAACCTTTCATGCCACTGTTGCTGTGCACAACGTTGCCCGGCTTCACTGCACAGACGCCGACACTAGTAGCAGCAAAGCGAAAGTCGCAAGAGCCGTGGCTTCACTACGCAGACGCCGACACTAGTAGCAGCAAAACGAAAGTCGCAAGAGCCTCGGCAGGAACAGCCGCCAATGAACAATTTTCTGCCATGGCTTTCGAAATGACGGCCGTGCTTGGTTCAACTGGGCCGCACTAGATGGTATCGTATATCTAGTTTAACCAGACGAAAATGAAACTTTTGAACCACCTGCGCCATTCCCCATGGTAACTCCTGGCAGTTCTTTTTTTCTCTAAATCAAACTAACGGACAAGCCGCATTTTATTCTGTCCCTTGATGCACGGAAGGTTCTTTTTTTTCGTAGCTAGTTTGATTACTAGTGATTAATTGTAGTCGGTTGCTCTCCATTATTGGGACAATTTACAAAATATCCCACAGATGGGGCCCATCGTGTGGTACATTTAGCTTAATTTCTCGGTAAATAGGGTACCACTATTGATAATGCCGTTTTAAACGTCCTACATTCAGCTTTCCCTCTGACATATAATTATTATTTGCCTTTAGTGTTCCTTTAAGAACTGCAGCATTAATAGTAGGACCACAGTATTTATACAAAAAGCTTAAGAAGTTATTTTGAATACCAGTCATGCACAGTCATATCACTAGATAAATTTTTTTTCGAGTCGTAATGTTGCAGTAACGTTGATACCATGCTGATGCCAAAAGTCCGGTTTACTCAGGTGACTACAAGACAATCTGTAGTATCAAACTGAAGTTCATATTTCTTAAATGTCATCCATGTGATGAATGTTCAAAAAGATGCATGTTGTCTATAAGGATAGAACATGGAAGCATCAGTAGGTTCATAGGAAGCCACACTTACTGATAACGATACAATTCCCAAAGGTCTGGTTTTTTCCTCCAGTCGGCCATCATGGATCCATATGGGTCGTCCAGGTAACCCTCAAAGTCAATGTGCTCAATGTCGTCGAGCACCTGGAAAGCACGAGCAAGGTTCAGCCATTTTCACACACTCGTGATTTAAACATCGCTCCAATACCATAGTGAGAAATACAAAGTTCAGAAGTCAGCAAAACGAGACCAGAGAACAGATCACACTAAAATTATAATGAGAGTTTAATATTTAGGTTAGTGCTAAATAGAAAACATCAACTTATAATAAAGGCAGTAGCAAAGCTCCCCAGATATGGTAATTTGGCAGTCTCTTGAACACTGATGGCATTTATCGCGCTATTTTGTAGGTTGTGCCTTCTGCTAGGAAAATGAAACTACACATTTTGATGGTGGCAACTTACACTAATAAATGCATCACACCTCTGCTTTGCACAGTGCCCTAAAGCTGGTAAACTATCAAGTATTTTTTTGTAGACTCCCTAGATTGTGGCACTGAATGACAAAAAGACTTTTTAAATATTGTATCAAGAAAAAAAAATTAGGGGACCTAAGGCTTCACCTTTAAGAGTTGAATGTGATAGTGATATCCTGTTCCTAGTGCGTACTCCAAATACTTAGTGTATGAAACCTTTTGAATTTGCTATGCACGCACTACGTGGCCAACCTCTCCTATGTGTCATTTCAGCAAAAAAAAAAAAAAAAGAAAAAAAGTGGCATGCGCCGCTGTCTCCTCCTCTGCCTTTTCTCATGTATAGAAACACCCCGCTTAAGGGAAAAGGGTAAGCCCTATACCCGCCATATATTTAAGACGCAGTTTATGTGCCTTTTTATCCACAAAGTAAGAGTTACAGTAATTATTTTACTATCATTGTGACCATGAACCATACCTGTCTTTACTGAAGCAGACTTATCACTGAAAGTTGCAAAGCTCATTTTTTGTAAAATATTTACTTCAGGTATTTAATTATCACTCGATAATTGCTATTAGATGTCATGCTGCAGAAGAGCACTTCCTCACACAATAGAACAGTAATTCTGCTTCAGTGTATTCTCTATTACATTATCTAAATACTGGCTGAAATCTATGATTCTAAATACGGTGATTGCCTAGAAAAGGAACATAAGTACAAAAAAAGCAAGTTTTGAGATAATCGCATTTGAAGTTGAAAATGTGCATTACTTCAAAAGTACAACTAGATAACAGCAGATTGACAGACTCGTTCAATAGGCACCAGCCAGATACTCATCCCCAATATCATTTTTTCTTGTTGTTTTGAAACGTCTTGCCTGGCGACCCCCCTTTGTCGCCTGTTATGAAGCCCCGTCAGCAAAGTACTTTTGACGCAGGTCAAGGGTGCATAAGCCCTGCAGTGTGCAGTGCCCTGGCGAAATTCCAAAAGAGTTCAGCACATTCGAAATTAAACAGGCACGATGCCGTAAGGTTCCGCTTACTCCAAACCCATTCCTACCCTAGCCCGGCTGTTCTACGCCACCTCTACCCGAACATATACCCCACCGATATATGTAAAGCGTGCGGGCACAGAGCAACACTGAGCGACATGCTCTGGAAATGTGCCGGCGACGACAGTCGTGAAAACGCCACCAATCGCGATGCGCCTATAGCGGCCGTCAATCCCAAATCACAGGGAGCCTCGAGCTCACTCGTTCCTGCCGCCGCCCCGGCTGCGGAAGCCGCACGGGACCTTCTTTGTCGGCGTCGGCGCTGCTGGGAGGCGGCCCTCCAAAGCCCAGAGCTGAACGACCAACTCTGGGCCATCCGGGAGGCCAAGGATGCCACCCGTGTCCAGGGACTACGAGCCGCCACCTGAAGCCGCCGAGACCAAATTGCCGGCCCATTGTGTCCAGCAGAGTCTTTTCTCTCTCTTTCTCTCAGCACATTCGCACGAGCTATACTGCCATCATTAAATGTAAGCGCAGTATCAAGAGTGCATATTTATAGTGTTTGGTGCCCGAGGAGACCGTTTTTTGGAGCGCGCTTCCACACGACAGTGCAACGACTCGTTATGGTTTTAATTTTTCCCATGGAGGCAATTAGCAAGTAATTATGAGTGAGATACTAGTTCCAAGTAATTTGGCTTAACAACCTCAATAACAGATGCTGGAAGGTGTTCTTTATAAACGAATGGTTTACGTGAGAAGAGGGGCATGGCAGGCCACCACACAAGTTTTTAAATACTAAGTCCCTTTTAGAGAAAAAAAGTTGTAGGTTGCTGCTGATTTCAAATATCGCAAAAAAGTTAAAAAAAATGTTTTTGCTTATCCTGTCCCCTTAAGCGAATAGGTGCAGCGGCACATGTACCTATCGTAGTGGGTGACCAGCTTTAAACAACAAAGTCGTTATGATAATCACATGTTCTGACGCCTGATGGCAATGATCGCTTGTACCACACATTATTACTACAGTATTTCATGTTGTATTGCGAAGCATATATGTAAGATGCATGTGTTTGTAAAGCATAAAAGTTACTTTCAGTGCATTCACAAGCGTGGCCATGAGGTAGAACATCCCGTTTGCCATGCAAACGACCCAGATTCGATCCCCAGTGTGGCCCAGAATTTTTAAATTAATTTTTAAATCATTTTTTGTTTGCATCATTCTTGATTTTTCGGTCACACATAAGATAATGTTTTTTTCTTTTTTTCGTGGCATTAAGCTTATAACTCAAGTTGCAAATGTCTTCGTCAGTCTCGACAACGATTATTTAAGTTGCCGTGATTGCCCGAACCTTATCCCTCACAATTGGCGTCCGCGCGACAGGACGAAGCCGTTTGCACTGGTTGAAATCTATAGGGAAGATGAGTGAGCAAGAGCTTATAACGCTAGCGGAACGCATGGGGCTTCAAGGAGCCGAGCTAAAGACGTGGGTAGACGCGCGGTTAGAGCGGGCTCATGAGGAATCTGTGCAAGCGCGTGAAGAGCGTTCCGCGGAAGGCAGGCGGCGAAGGAACGTTTGGAGATAGAAGAGAGAACTCTTCAACTGCGAATTCGACTAGCTGAGGTTGAAGGTAGCCGAGAGCCAACAGCGCGGGACCGCGAACCTGAGAGGAGTCAAAGCCGCCCGTGCTTGATCAATCCTCACAACCTGATCCCAGTGTTTGACGAGGGGCGTGACGATCTCGATGCGTATCTCAAGAGGTTCGAACGCGTAGCAGTTGGTCAAGAGTGGCCTGAGGAGAAGTGGGCGACAGCGCTTAGTTTATGCCTCAGTGGGGAAGCATTGAAAGTCTTCGGTCGTCTGTCGCCAGAAGACTCAATGGATTACCAGAGTACGAAAGTGGCCTTGCTCCAGAGGTTTCGTTTCACAGCCGAAGGCTATCGCGAAAAGTTTCGGCAAAGCAAGCCTGAAGACGGCGAAACTGGTAAACAGTACGCCACAAGATTACAGAGTTACTTCGATAGATGGCTGGAAATGTCGGAAACGGACGAGGACTTTGCATCCGTGCGCAACCTCATTGTAGCTGAGCAGTTTCTGAATAACTGCCACGATCGCCTGGCACTTTTTCTAAGGGAGAAGAAATGCAGGACGGTAAAAGAAATGGCAGAAGCAGCTGATACCTTCTTGGAAGCCCAGCGGCAAACAAACTTGTTGGTATTTCGTACCAAGTCTGCAAACAACATTCCCAAGGAGCAAGAAGGAGTTACTTATACCCAGCCTCCTCTTAGATGTTTCGTCTGTGATCGACCCGGCCACAGAGCATCTGATTACCGCACGAAACCCCAACGAGTCTTCTGTGGGCACTGTCGGAAGCCCGGCCACGATGCAAGAGCATGCCCAAGCAACGGCGGGTCAAAGAAAATGACATCTTGCATCGTGTCTACTGACCAGAAGTCCGAGACGCCCCGATGTGCCGATGATTCATCACAAGATGAATATGTTGCTAGTGCACTCCGAACGCGCACCGCAACAGCTACACGAAACTTGCCGGTGTTACAGGGAGAAGTGTTTGGACATACTGTATCAGTCTTGAGGGATACTGGAAGCAACACCCTGGTCGTGCGACGTTCCCTCGTTCCCGATGATGCGCTGACGGGTACTACCGCCACTATTTTATTGGCCGATGGTAGTTGCATCGAGGTACCGGAAGCAGAAGTACGGATTCTATCGCCCTATTTCACCGGAAATGCGATAGTCAAATGCATGACGTCGCCACTTTACGATGTCATCGTAGGAAATGTTCCCGGCGCCCGTGACGCTAATGACCCCGACTCAACGTGGAAGGAGTCAGCGAGCCTGAAGTCGGAAACTAATCAGGCATTGAATTCTGAAGAGAAATCCAAGGATGGATGCGGGACGAAGAGCACAGTCATGGTTGGTGTTTCAAGCAAAGGACATCGCCGGAAGCTCACGACTGCTAATTTGGAAACTTAGAGGTGACACAGGAGTCATTTCGCCAAAAACAAGAGGAAGACCGGTCGCTGGATGTTTGTAGGGCGAAAGTCGACACCCTCATCCGCGGTAAAGGAGCCACATACCACTCATTTATGTTCGAGAAAGGAATCTTGTACCGCGTTTACCACTTGACTCCGGGCAAATCAGTTCAACAAGCGGTGGTTCCAAAGGCGTTGCGTGTCCATGTGTTGCACTTGGCACATGAATCACCGATATCTGGTCACCAGGGTATCAAGAAGACGAAGGACCGAGTTTTGGAGTCGTTTTATTGGCCCGGTGTACAGGAGGAGGTACGAAGATTCGTAAAATCATGCGACGCATGCCAAAGGACATATCCCAAAGGCAAAGTAGGCAAGGCGCCTCTTGGACGAATGCCTTTGATTGACACGCCATTCGAACGTGTGGCCGTTGATATCATTGGACCTCTGACGCCGATTTCAAAGAAGGGTAATCGGTACATTCTTACCTTGTGGATTTCGCCACTCGGTACCCGGACGCGGTGGCTTTGCCCGCAATTGATTCGGCAACAGTAGCAGATGGACTACTGGAGATGTTCTCTCGAATAGGATTTCCACGGGAGATCCTCTGTGATCAAGCATCTTGCTTCACGTCAGGCCTGATGGAAGAGGTGAATGCTCTGCTTGCTATTCGACATTTGAGCTCGACGCC